AGCATAAAGTCCCTGGCGTCTGTCAGCCGTGTTATTTACTATTTTTGTTTAGGCAGAAATGTTATTTTTGAAGTGAAACTTCTTAGGCGGCGGTCTGATATTTGGACGAGAATGGGGTGCACATGATTTTTTGTGTTTTAGATTACGTCACAATAATAGTTAAAAATGGAAGATATTAAGAAACTAAGCGTTAAAAAACCTTACCGATACTTGCTTTAACAGCAGACCAGTTTACATTGGATAAAATAAAAGACATGAAAGTGAATGTTACAAAAGAATTTAAAAAAAGATTACTTGGAACGAATGGAGAAAAAGGATAATGCCCAGCAATTGGAAGCTTCAACTAAGGTTCTCGAGTGCCGATTTCACAGGAAGTTTCAAAGGAAAAAGTAAAATTAATTTTTGGAAGAAGTTTTTGGGACCAACCCCATCCATGCTTCAGGCGTTGGCATCTTTGGGCAAAAGGGAAACGTTAAGTTTCTGATATGGAGCAGATTGAGTTGTTTATTTGCTCAATATATTCATCGTCCAAGAAAAGTGTGAAAAGCCTAGCAGAATTGAGATGGTGGTTGTTCTCGCAGAGGCAAGTTTCGACCGAAAATATGCCCCCCACTCGAGCAGCCTTGAAAATGACAGTAGAGAGATGCCACTCAGTGCATTAAATGGAATTGGAATACACAGGCTCACCCCAATTTACCACCCACCTCTAACAAATTACATTTGGAAATTTGGAACTGACGGATTGGAATTAGAACCAATTATGTGTAGTCTAATTAATCTAATAAAAAAATAATTGTTCTCAAAGATGCAAATATTCAGCACAATATAAATTTTGCACGGAAATGTGTAAGTGTGAAACTGATCCAGAATGTTGTTCAAATACTAAAGCAGATGGAAAAACAACCTATGGCTCTGATTCTGACTATGCTCTGGATAGCGGATTTGATGACGAATATTTTTTGTTTTTACTTTATACCTACTGTTTGTAAGGATGTCTATCATGGGGATCTCGAAAACGGTAGCAGATATGGCAATGGTTGAATGGGAAAAAAGTTGCGGAATTTAACGCTTAATAAAATGGTTTTTTGACATTTGAAAAATTCCGAACATTTTCCAAGATATTCGGAAAAAACCGGAATTTTGCTAAATTGATTTTATTTTTTCCTGAGCTTATTTGAGGAGAGATTTCAAAATAAATGTCACTTCAGGTTTTAAGAGCTTCTGATATCCCAAAACCTATGACGTATCGCATTTGTTCGAAAAAAAAAATTATTATTTTTTTCTTTTTAGTAATTTCCTACCAAAATTCTCTCTCTAACACAATAAGTTGATGATGGTGGCCCAAAGACGAAACATCAAATTTCAAAATTGATAATTCCATCTTGTAGAGTAGGAAAAGTAATAGCGATGAAGTGACGTTTATTTTGGAATATCTCCTCAAATAAGCTCAGGAAAAAATAAAATCGACTTTGCAAAATTTCGGATTTATTCGGATATCTCGGAAAATGTTCAGAATTTTCCATATGTCAAAGTACAATTTTATTGAACATTAAATTGCGCAACTTTTTTCCTATTAAACCATTGCCGTATTTGCTACCGTTTACGAGATCCCCATAATAGACATCGTTATCTTGGACACCCTGTATATATAAATACCAAAATAGGCTGTTATTTAATATTATTTGAACTTAGATGGAACACATAAAATCATAATATGTTTTTCTTTTCAACAATATATAGCTATGAAAATAAAATAAAAATTTGGAAGCATTTTCTACTATCTTGCTTTAGCTAAAATATTTTTTCTACGTATGGGTGGTTTAGGGGTCTTTTTTTTCCCTTCTGCCACCCCTACAGGTCACGCCCCAACGATATTCGTAATCTATATATTTTTCCGAAAATTTTGATGTATAGCACTACATTGCTTCACAAAGTTGCATATGGATTACTTATTCGAAACTGACTAATTAATACAATTAGGTACCAGTGATACAAACGACCTGAGATCCATGTTATGAATAACTTGCTAGTAGCAACATCGGCTCGAATTGAACTCAAAATTAATTTAAACAAAATAAAAATAAAAAAATGATAAGAAGTAAATCTCTTGAAAATGTCATTGAATATACTAACTATAAACGATCAAACTGGTGGAACAAAATCAAACATCGGCAGACTTGGTTACATCATAAGATCTGAGATCATTCCTGTTTACCTCAGAAAACGTATATAGCGCAAAAAGCAATGTGCCTGTGGGTGATCCCACAAAAAATGTAGGATAGATACAGTTAAAAACATAGCTCAATTGAAGTGGCATAGGGGTTCACACACACATTCAGGAATGGATGAATACAGACAGAAGAAGACAAGACATCGATAAATTATCCAAAATTGGAAACGCATCAGCAAAAAAGTAGGAACAGCACAAAAAATACCTGCAAATCCCTGAATTCAATGTCAAGATCATAGACGCGTCCTTCTCAGAGATCAAAGTCAATATGAAACCGAACCAAGGTCTCGGGCAGTATTAAAAATAAAGTCTCCCACAGTAAGCGCGCACCTGCTTTCAGCATCAGGTAGGCATAAGGCGTGGTCACCGCAAGAAGAAGAGAAAATGCGATTCTTGGCCTGCAAGCCGGCCGTCATCGAGGTCAGGGACAAGGCGGAAGAAAAGAAGAAGTTGGAATCTGGGTCAGTTGGTTAGGCGCGCCCATTAATTGGTAGGTGACCCAACCAAAGAAAGTTGGAGTTGAAAATTTTCACCGATGGTGATCAGGTTACCTAGAGGACTTGTTACATTTAATATAAATAGAAGGATCCTAGAAAAGGTAGTGAGTTAGTTAAGCTGGGCTCACTAAGCAACAATATATTTTCTAAACCATTAATAAGTTCCTGATTCTTTCCGATCCCTTGTTGAACCCCTCTAACTCGTCTAAAGTTTTGAAAACAGATTTTTTTCCTATCAAACAACTCTCTCAGTTATTATTTCCAAGACATTATCCATCACCAGAATTTGCTATAAATTGTTAGATGCTATAGTAGAGCAAAATTAACTTTTCATAATATGCAGTTTTTTCGATAAAAAAAATTCTAATAAAAAAAGGCTTTTTTCTCTTTATTCTGTACAAATTTTGAATGTTGCCGGTTATAGAATAGGTAGTAATATCAATTTCATGAATCAAGGTATGAGTGTTTAATATATTAATTTTTATATTCGTAAATTTTGTATAGGTAGGTACCTATTAGCGAATTAGAGTTAACATTAATTGAAAATATACGAAAAGTGAAAAGATTACTTATTTAATGAACTTGGATGTTGTTTTTCAGACTCCTTGGCCATGATTCTTGAGTTGTTTCTCTTCTCGAAGTTCTGCTGATATGAAGTGATTTTAAATGAGAATGACTACGCTTATTTCATGCATTGTATACGGATACTATGTGGATTGGATTAATAATGGGAAATAATAATCCTAAATAAACACCCAGAATTTGAGAGTTTATCCGGATCGGAGTACTTGATCCAATTCTCTAAATTTGTAGGATTGGAGTTAAAACGGATTATCTCAAATGTGAAATAAATACCTTCATCTCGGATTAAATGAGTTTGTTGCTAACTTCAAGAAGAATCACATTGGTCATTTCTAATTTTTTTGAGGATTGATGTTATTTAGTTTTATTTGGATATTTTCTGATGAAAAACCGGTGTGAGATAAGAAAATGTTTACATTTTAATTGTTAATTGAAACTATTTTTCATCATTGTTGCCTTTAATGAAGTTAGACACAAACGACACAAAGCAATTTGCACTTGCGCTTCTAACAAGGCCCAAGAAAGGAAATCCATTTAATAATAATCTATTAAGTATCCAGATGATACAACGCGTGAAATAAACGTAGTCAGCGACTTTCAACAAAAGTAATCCTGGGTATATGTTATGTAGCCAATGGTGAGAAATCCGTACGCCGAAAATTCTAAAAGCTTTCTGTCAAGGTGCTTTGCCTTTGCTTTTACTTGGCCTTACCGCCAACAGGTTTCCTTCTTTGATCTCAATGAATATTGTAATGACATTTGAATAATTGAAATCTTCCGGAAAAAATATTTCAAATGGGTCTTCTGCATATTTTTGGTATTGACACACATTGACATGTGAGAGAAATTCTCTTAGGTAAAAAAAGAGTTAGAACAAGTAGAATTTTTACTGGTGTTTCAATAAAGTCAATAAAATCTAAGAAATCCTTATGAATTTTGAAATTTACAAGGTATACACAACCGATTTTATGAGGTAAAGAATTAGAAGTTGCAAACGAAAAAAAAACATTTAATATAGAGTAATGTACCTATAAAACTAAATATTTCCTCAAAAACAATAATGTGTCAGCAATGAGAGTTAGGTAGGTGAATTATTTTAATTTAAATAATTCCACTTTCTTATCAAATAATCTTAGATTTTATGTCGATAATCTTACCTTACTCATCGGAAATTTATAAATATAATATATATGAAGGTAGGTAGCAAGTACTTTCCTTACAAAACGCCATAACAATAATTTAATGACACAGATTTGAATGGAAAGGTTGTAGAAAGTGCTCATTTAAAATTAAACCACCGAATACAAAAAAATAAGATTAATAAAAATGCTATAGATATTTATTCAATTACTCTCGAGAAAGTGTCAGATGTGTTTCAGAGGATATCTATATCCTAGATCCGGTTGAAATTGGAAACGCATTTACGAATTATGGTTATTAATTTAGTTCGAATCAATCAATTTTCCAATTAAAATTGAAAGCAATGAAATATTACGAAGTATACCTATATGCACATGAAAATTCTTGATAAACTAAACCAAAAAAAAAAAATATCACGAAAATAAAACAGTTTAGGAACCTACTAGAATACAAAATTACCTAGAAACCGAATATTACAATTGACATTCCAAGTATAACCATGGCCGACTTGTACAATACCACCCTGTTAAATATCCACCGAAATAATTTACCTGCTGAAAGTAAATCTCTTGCTTCACTTGTAGGCAATTTAATTTTCAATTCACGCTCTGCCAAAAATCTTGCACATCTGTCCACTATATCTTCATCACCTCTAGCTTCACTTATAAGGGTTGAATTAGACTTTTCCAGCACAACTAAGTCTTCTATAACAGATATTGATGGCGTGTCTTCAATTGTTTGTAATAAGTTTGACAATTCTTTTTCTCTTGTTGGAACACTTTTCTCATCACAAGTAGCTATTGTAGCTATTAGGCTAATGACTAAATAAATGCTAAACAAAAACATTTTGAAGACTCAAATGCCAAAAATAAAATGTGCAATAGTTTTAAAGACTAATTGTTTTATATTTGCCATATTTTTTTCGCTGATAAGAAGGGGTGTTAAGATATGTAACACGGTAAAATAAATTCCAAATGCGATCGTGTGTCGTAAAGTAAAGAGCAAAAAATTTTACTTTGCACTTATTAAGTATTCAGCATTTGACTGTTGTTGTTAATTTATTCCCTAAAAGTTTTAATGGTATGTGTCTATCCGCTTGAATACTAAATGGGATGATCCTGAAAGAATGAAAGTATGTAAGGTAGACTGTGTGTCTTTAGATGTGAACAGAATTTTCTATAATCTCGAAATGAATGGAGAATTAATTAATTAATTTCGAAAATTATTTTTTTATCTGTTTAAAATTCAATATTTTAAATGCCATTGAACATTTAAAAAAAAAAAACACCTGCCTATAAGAATTAAGATACAAACTTCATCAAGTCAGTAGGGTAAAAGGTGTCTGGCTGCCTTTTATTTATTTCCCATAATCCCCAAATCAAACTTGTTGTAAATTGAAGGGAGCTTCACAGCTTGGACAGGGAGCTTCAGCCTATGTCCTTCTGATGAGTCCTAACAAGGACGAAACGCGTCAAGGATTGGCACGGGAAGCCTGAGTCCACTGCTCAGTGGGTCGATTCCCAAACAGGGACCGTTATGTCCCTGATGAATTCACGTTGGTCATTACCTGAAAAAAAAAAAAAAAACCTTCTAACAAATTGAAGATAGTTTATTCAAGACAAGAAAATATAGTTTATTTAACAAAATAATTATTATAGTAATAGACAATAAGAGCGTGTTTTTGTCGTATTGACCAACTGCTTCGCGTAACGCAACTACCTATGCCCAGCAAGAAAGGTTCTGCTGTCCCTTGTTCTTCAAAACATCCCTGTCTGTGATACGTGCTGGCGCATAAATTATACAGTATCTGGGAACCTGAGCTGCATCTTTATATTGGTGGTTGCAGTTCGGTTACAGTCGGCCTACCTGATAACACTTCAGGACCCCGTCAAGTTGGACTTAACTTAAAAAAAAGCACAAAAAAAATTAGTTATAATACACTAGAATTAAAGCCAGAGACGAAACACACTATTCGTCTACTGGGTTATCGTCACTAATGTCATCACTAACTGTCGTAACATAAAGTTTCATTCTGTATGAAGGACAAATGCCCGTATAAGCAGTCCTAGACCGTTCCGACCCTCGCAATTCGTCAACTACATATTTGTCACTGTCAAGTACCTTTGACACAACAAAAGGGCCTTTATACCTAGATTTAAGCTTTCTACTCCTTCCCTCATTGGAGACCTTACTTGCCTGAACCAATACTTGTCGGCCAACTACGTAGCTAATGCGGCCGACAAAACTGAGCGATTTATTCTCTCCACTTGCCCATTAGCTCTAGGTGTAGCTGTCGTACATAAAACACGTTTAATACCTAATAAATGACAGAAGTCCGCAAAACTTTTGCTTGTAAACGCTGTTCCACGATTGCAAATCAATCTTCTTGGAACTCCATACATATCAATGATATATTCCAGGAAACGTAATACTGGTAATGTTTTTGCTACTGCTTTCAGGAATACGATTTTGGTAAATGCATCTACCACAACTATCAAATATGCATTTTTCCCAACGCTTGTAACCAGGCTGTTTACCGGATGACCTTTTATTACATAGACACCCTAAACAGGATCGTATATAGTTTTTCACATAATTTCTCATTTCTGGAAACCAATAACAAGCTTCCAACGTTTTGTCTATTGCAAAGTGACCAGCTCCATCATGGTAATATGTAGCGATAGTTCGCCTTGATGATTTCGGTACTACCCATTTCCGTCCACCATTTGTAATTCTGTATAAGCGGTTATCTTGTAGGCAATAATTCTTACGGATCCCTTTGGTCTCATTCTCACTATCATCTGACGCTGACGGTTTTCGTGATAGCGCCTCTATTAGGTAGCGACAATGTTCATCTTGGAGTTGTTCAGTCCTCCTCGGATACACCAACATTCAAAACGTCAATGTTTTGGATTGGACCTCTGCTCAAAGCATCCACATGCGCCATTTTGGTTCCTGGGCGGTATTCAATGTCAAAATCGAACTCCTGCATGAAAAGCCACCATCTAGCAATGCGTGGGACCAAATCTTTTTTTATTAGTGTGTGGCGGAGCGAATTGCAGTCTGTAACAACTTGAAATTTACTCCCCATGAGGTAAATTCTGAACTTTTTGAGGGCCTCCACTGATGTCAACGTTTCCAACTCATAGGAATGATACTTCTGTTCAGCTTGAGTAGTCGCTCGAAATATTGAGAGTATTATCACTTTATTTTTGAAATAGTATTGGTCCCAATCCTCTTTGCGTCCAACACAGTGAACTTCGGTTTTAGCCTCCCTGTTGTATATTGCCAGTATGGGTCTCTCTACAAGCTTCTTCTTTAAATCTTTAAAGCAATTTTCTGTTCCATATTCCAGGCAAAAACGGAGTTTTTCTTGGTAAGTGAAGAAATTGGTCTGGCAATGGAGGCGAATCCTTTTATAAATCTTCTGAAATAACTAGCTAGTCCTAGAAATTTTCTAACATCATGAATGTTATTGGGTGTTGGAAATTCAGCCACGGCTTCAATTTTATCCACACCAAGTTGTATACCGATATTAGATACTTCATGTCCTAAATATTATTTGTTCTCTTGAAGGAAATAGCACTAACCTAACCTAAGTGTTAAACCGACTTCTCTAAAGATATCTGTTTCAGCTTTTTAAATCCATCTGGTAATGGTATTGAAGGTATTAATACGTCGTCCAAATATGCCATAGCTGTTTCGAATCGCAAAAAGCCCAATACTTTATTGGGTTTATTGTTCTCTGAAAAACCGCAGGAGCATTTATAAGTCCAAATGGCATTCGCAGGAACTTGTAGTGTCCATCTGATGTTGCAAACGCAATTTTCCGAATTGATCTCATGGTATCCAGATGCTAGGTCTAGGGTCGTAAAATAAATGTGACCTTTGAAGAAGTCCAGGAGGTCATCTATTCTTGGCAATGGGTATGTATCTTTCAGCGTTTTACGATTTAAGACTCTATAATCTATGCACATGCGCGACTCACCATTCTTCTTTTTCACCAGTAGGACGGGACTTGCATAAGGTGAAGATTAGTCACGGATAATATAATTTTTCACGAGGTCGTGAACTATTCCTCTTACGACTTCCCTCTGTATGTAATAGGAATATCATTAGTTAGCGATATCGCCATTTCTGTGGCTTTTGTTTTTCCAATCTCGTCTACATTTGTGGCAAAACACTTACGGTATTCATTAGGAAGGTCTAATAACTGTTTGAAATCGGTACTATTGAGCTTGGGATTGGTTTGGTTTTGAATTTCTTGAGTCGTTAATTTTCTGAATTCCGTAATTTCAATTGTTAACACGTTGGCTGCCGTGAGACACAAATGTGGTGTCTCAGGTTATTTTCGATAACAGCCGCGTGATCCATCGTTTGTGTCTCGGCCGTATTTCATCGCTATAGCCGCGTGAGCCGTGGTCGGCGTCTCAGTCCTATATAAGTCAAATGGGATTGAAAGAGCGCGGCTGTAAGTGTTGGAAAGCAATTTTGGTTTTTGAATCTGAGACTCATAAGTGGTTTCTCATGGCCTAAAATATACCAAATTCATAAAATCAAAAACTATAGCAATGTAACGTCTTTATTGAATGAAATAAAACAAGAAAGCAAATGTTTTTCCAAAAATAAAACAAAACACATAAAAATTACTAAAAAATACTTGAAAAAAATTATTTGGTGCAATAATGCACCTGAAAAAGACACTCAAGACAAAAATATTTCTCACATGCAGTGCACTTTAGTTAGAGAATAGGGCGCGAGTTTTCTAAGCTTTGTCACAATGTTTTCGTGCTGAACTCCATGAAAACCAAACAATAAATTATCCGCGTTGCACGCGCGAACGCCGATCAGCGATCAGGTGCATCCATTCCGGTGCAACAAACAGCGCAAAACGTTCGCGAACGTAGCAAAACATTTCAGTTTGGACGGTTGCGCGCTCAGACCTGCTCACGCGCGCTCTGTTTTGCGCGGCGCAAAATGTTTTCCATGCAGTGTCGGTACATAAACAAAAAATTGTTGCAGCAGTTTGGACGTTATTCGCGCTGCACAGAATGTTTGCGTCGCGCGAGCAAGTCTGAGCGCGCAACCGTCCAAACTGAAATGTTCTGCAATGTTCGCGAACATTTTGCGCTGTTTGTTGTACCGGTCTGGATGCACCTTTACACAAACTAGAAAGAGATAGCACTCTGAGGAAAAAGGATGCCTAATACGCTAGCCCGACAAGTACATACAGACGCCACATTTGTTGCACACGGCCATTGGGCAAAATTTTATATGTTGAGGCCGCGTGACCATACGGCGGGTCTCATTAAAAATTGTCAAAAAAATTATTATAAAATTTTTTTGTGTGGAAAAAATGTACTTACGAGTGTTCTAGGATACTAAACAGCCAACGTGTTAATATAGGAACAAAGGTATCAATTCCATCTTACTGAAGAAATGGTTGGTCATGGTTTCTATTCTCTCTTTTGTCCGTCCCATAATTTTCCTTAACGCCATGGCGTAATCAACATGATCAGGAAAAGTTTGAGAAATCAATGTTTTCCATTCTATCCAGGAACTGGGATATTGTTGTAATCCATTATTCCAATTTCGGGCCATACCACTAAACCGAGATTGCACCTGGTAGATTGTCGTAACATCATCCCAGTTAATAATATTTTTAATTTGGTCAATCTTATCTAACCAAGCTACGGCCGATAAGTTTTCATTCTCAGGATCAAATTCTGGAATGCACTCACTCCGGACAGATAAACGCCTAAATTCCGTTTATGGTCCCTGCCTAGCAAAAAGCTCTTATAATTTTCCAAGGCTCATCAACGGAAGTCGCAG